ACGTGCTTGTATGCATGCCTGACAAAGTCAGAGCATGCTCCTAATGAGATGACAGATGGGGGTTTATTTACTAAAGCTGGAGAGTCCAAAATCAGATTCCCTTTTGCATAGAAACCAATCAGCTTCTAACCTCAGCTTGTTCAATGAAGCTTTTGGCAATGAAACCTGGAAGCTGATTGGTTTCTATGTAGAAGGGAGTCTGATTTTGGACTCTCCTGCTTTAGTAAATAAACCCCATGGTGTCCTAAGGTATTTTCTCCCAGATCTGGTCCAGGGCATCAATGAGCTCCTGGACAGTCTGAGGTGCAACCTGGCGGCATCGGATGGACCAAAACATGATATCCCAGAGGTATTCTATAGGATTTAGGTCAGGCAAGCGTGGGGGCTCTTCATTGGTATACATTCCTTCATTCTCCAGGAACTGCCTGCATACTCCCATCACATTAGGCCAGGCATTGTCGTGCACCAGGACCCACTGCACCAGCGTAGGGTCTGACAATGGGTCCAAGGATTTCTTCCCGATACCTAATAGCAGTCAGGGTGCCATTGTCTAGCCTGTACAGGTCTGTGCGTCTCTCCATGGATATGCCTCCCCAGACCATTACTGACCCACCACCAAAATGGTCATGCTGAACGATGTTACGGGCAGCACAATATTCTCCACGGCTTCTCACAACTGTTTCATGTCTGTCACATGCGATCAGGGTGAACCTACTCTCATCTTTGAAAAGCACAGGGCACCAGTGGAGAACCTGACAATTCTGGTGTTCAATGGAAAATGCCAATTGAGCTCTATGGTGCCGGCCAGTAAGCACAAGGCCCACTGGAGGATGTTGGGCCCTTAGGCCACCCTCATGAAGTCTGTTTCTGATTGTTTGGTCAGAGACATTCACACCAGTGCCTGGTGGAGGTCATTTTGTAGGGCTCTGGCAGTGCTCATCCTCCTTGCACAAAGGAGCAGATACTGGTCCTGCTGATGGGTTAAGGACCTTCTACGGCCCTGTCCAGCTCTCCTAGAGTAACTGCCTGTCTCCTGGAATCTCCTCCATGCTCTTGAGACTGTGCTGCAAGACACAGAAAACCTTCTGGCAATTGTGCGTATTGATGTGCCATCCTGGAGGAGTTGGACTGCCTGTGCAACCTCTGTAGGGTCTAGGTATCGCCTCATGCTACCAGTAGTGACACTGACCCTACCAAATGCAAAACTAGTGAAAAACAGTCAGAGAAGATGAGTAGGGGGAAAAAAAAGTCAGTGGCCTCCAGCTGTAAAACCATTGCTGTTTTAGAGGTCATCTCATTGTTGCCCAACTAGTGCACCTGTTGTTAATTTCATTAACACCAAAGCAGCTGAAACTGATTAACAACCCCCTCTGCTACTTAACTGACAGATCAATATCCTAGGAGTTTAATTGACTTGATGCTATACTCTGATTAAAAAGTGTTCCTTTAATTATTTTGAGCAGTGTAGATTAACAGTGTCTTGATACTTTAACCTTTTCCATTCTTTTTCTACAATGTCCCAAAAGCATCCTGTTTTGTATTATAAAATATGGAAATACACATTCCTATTCCTATCCACAAATTCCTATTGTCAGGATTGAAATCATCTATAAACATGGTCCACATATTTTAAAGTTAACATTTGTAATAGAATACATGAGGTTTGAACTATTTTGTCCTAATAATATTAAAATAGCGAAAGCCTTAGTCTCATCAGTAAAGTGAATTCAGGCAGTTCATTTTGTTAGTTGTCTCTTGTGTACTTTTGCTGGCTTGAGAACAATGGCAAACAGCTGGATAAACAGGGTTAAGTTTGTTCTTTGCTAATTTGTATAAAAGAAATAAAGATGGTCCATGTTTTTCCCCAGATGACACTGGTCCATGTTTGCTATATACAAGGCCTGGCAAACATAGAAAGCAACTAGAAACATAGTAACATAGAAATAGTATGTTTCCCTATACAGTTTCAGTTTAAGAAGATGTTTACAGATAAACATGGCCTATTGTCACTTGCTTAAGAATGCACCCTGTTTACCATGAGTATCCAACAATTCTCTTGTCACAGCCAGTTTTTCATAGTCTTTTAGGCTCCATTCTCACTTGTATGACTCAAGAGTTGTGAGACTTTGGAGTGCAACTTTGGTGAAATTTTGATGCAACATTGACGCAACATTAATGCAACGTTGATGTAGCTATGACACAACTTTGATGCAGCTTTAACATAACATTGGATGGGTGCAACTTAGATGTGACTTTTCCTTTGCAAAGTCAGGCCCACTGTTGCATGTAAAACATTCAGGTATGACTTCCATGCAACTTTTGAGGGTTAAGTAGTGCATAAACTACTCTGTAATCACTGCAATGTTAAGTTTCACATATATGATTGGTTATCATTGTAAAACATTGAGTATGACTTTGTAATACGACTTTGATGTCCAAAGTCGCATAACAAGTTGCACATGTATAAATGGGGTCTTGCTGAATAAACTCACTCCATTGTACTGGAAAACAATTCCTTAAGGTACTTTTATCACTTACTGGGAAACATTTCCATGTTATGCTGGCTTGGCTTGTGGGCTATCTGACAATCCTCTCCCACACTCCCCCACTCAGAAATTCCCAGAAGATACGCCTACCCTCATCCTGAGCTCAGAAGCAATGGATCTTTCATTATATCACTGTCCCTATCTCATTTGACTTTTTCAGGAGTGGCTTGGTGATTTGATCTTTGGCATACTTTCACCTTATGCTGAAGAGAAAATCCAGTTGGTACTTTGTAATAAAAAAAGCAGTGCAAAGAAAAGCTCATGCACACTTTACTGTAAATCATAGTAAAATGCTGTTCTTGGCTGTTTTGGCTAAAATTATCAGAACTCTAGTTAGTATGGGTTACAGCTGTTTGCACATATCCACTGTTCTTTGCATTATTTAATGAGAGGTTCCTGGGAAGCACTTACAAACCATTTGGCTGCCATGGCTATGAAACTGCCAGTGAAACCACAGAGGGACAGTCCAAAGTACTAAAGCAAATTCCAGAAGAGTGATGAAAAGTTATTTACATAAGTAGATAACACATATATAAGCCTTAACGTTACCAACAGAACACTGAAAAAGAAGTAAAATCCTGGCACAGCTTCCCACTGCATGTGGTTCTACACACTGGCCGCTACATCAACCATTATGGCAGGTGCTAGATTTTTTTCTATGTAGGTATTTAAACATGCCATTTTGAAAGTGTAAGTTTAATTTAGAACTGCAATCCACCTTCCTTTTCCCAATGCCTATTAATGCCCTTAACTGATAGCTATACTTTTGCTAGCACAGCTTATCACTAGACCACCAATGCCAGGAAGGCACTACATGGGCTGCAGCACCATCAAGAAATAAATGAGCTATGATCAGAAGAATGTGGACAAACAATATGTCCAATGAGATAGATCAACTAATATACAATTTTAACAGAAAGGATGATATTCACACACAGTACATGTCTGACTGCTGAGGATCAAGCTAAAACTCTCTTTCCCTTAATAAAATTCTACCTCCTCATTTGATATCAAAAGGGCATGCTGTCTCTTTGGTATAATTGCTGGGTTGGGATATGAGCAAGACCTGTGTGCACAGTCCATGTGTGTCCGATCACAGGTAATAGACCAGAACAATGTTGTATGGGAGTGTGGCTGCATGGTGTTTCTGTTTATAACTTGTGCTCGGGACCAACATTGTTGTAGGCCATAACTGCCATTGTCCTCAAAAGAATAGTTTGTCCACTTTACTGATTAGCTTGTGTTTATTATAAAATTCTAGTTTCAGAACCCGTTCACTTTTTTGCACTTTAAAATGTGTTTTTATCATTGTAAGTACATGCTGACTTGGTTTACCGAGGTTTATGAGAATTGAGTATGTAGCTATCAAGGGAATCAGACTGTCACAATTATTATATCTTTATTAGGATCACCATTGTGTAGGTAGAAGAACATGCATAAAGTAGTAATAAAGGCTATGTATAAGTATGCCTAAAACTATTGCTCCCATTTCCTCCTACCTATGCTGTATATTGCTGGTAAAAAGATCTGGCAAGTACCTTATTTCAATCAGCCTGTCTGGTCACATGATGCAGAAGCTCAAGCTTCCCTGTGTCATGGAGCGCCAGTAACAAGGCTAAATTCTGAGAGCTGTGATGTCCTCCACCGACTGCCATAACCCATCCGTTGACAGTGCTCCCTTCTCTGTCCTGTGGCCTCTTCACAACACAAGGGACCTGGAGCTTTTGTATCACCTGATGAGATCAGAGAAGACTGAAATGAAGCAATAGCAAAGACTTTTTTTTTTTTACCAGCAGTATACAGCATAGGGGAGAAGCAAAGGTTTAAGGCATATACTCTGTATATGTTCATCTTTAAGGCTCCGTTCACACTAGCTTTGTCAGCAGGTGTCAGACAGGCGTTTGCAAAATGTTTTTAATGCTTCTCAAACGCCTGTGAAAATTCTGCACATGACAGCCAGGACACAGTGCTGTCCACACTGAAGCGTTAGTGTCACGTCACGTCAAAGCTGAGGAGTCATGTCGAGTCAGGAGGAGTTGAAGCGTTAATACCATTTAACTTCATTATAGGCGTTTGTGGTGCGGTTTTAATGCTTGGCAAACGCCTATCAAACTCCTCAAAACCGCGCATAGGGAGTTTGAGGAGCGTTTGAGGAGCATTAAAAATGCTTCCCAAATGCCTGTCTAACGCCTGTCAAATGCTCTAGGGGCATTTGGCAAGAGTTAGAAATAAAGTCAAGTGTGATTGAGCCCTGAAACCCTGTAATTGTGAGACTTTTATAGTGAGTTTTACATAATATTTAGCAGTTACATTCAGAAAATATTTTACAGTGTTTGCTAGTGGGCAGTCCAATCAGATTTTATTGTGTGTAACCAATTTCAGTACTACAGAGGACTATGTTTATGTGAGGGTGTTTCTAAGGAGGGTTGTCAAGCAGGGGCAGACTGACAACTCATGGGCCCCCCGGGCAGTATGGGATCATGGGGCCCCTGTGTCCTTGCCCAAACTCAAAAAAGCCTATGAAAAAGGTACCAGGGGCATCTCATGGGGCCCCCTACTGACCCCGGGCCCTCCAAATGGTCAGTCCGCCCCTGGTGTCAAGTGAGATAACCCTTACTACATGGTATTCATTACAACACTAGGTAAACAAGGGATCTTTAGCCTCCACTAAGTGGGATTTTTTTTTCAAGTGTATCTTCTTTTTAGTGTAAACTTAACCACTTTCCCACGCCCTATAGCAGAAATAGTGGTACAGAGTGACAGGGCTGTGCAAAAGCACGTATATATATGTGATTTTGCACTTCTGGTTAGTGGGCGTTCACACGTCCTACCCACGCTGCCATTGGCGACCTCAGCTGTCGATCACCGGGTCCCAGATGGTGATTCCCTGCCGGCACTCAGTGATTGCTGAGTATCACTGAAGGGGGAGAGACTTGTATGTAAACAATACAGATCTCTCCCCTGAGAGCGTAGCAGAGCAATACAAAGCAATGTGCTGACACAGTAAAACACACACACAGCACACAGTAAAACAACACACAGTTAACCCTTTGATCGCCCCAGATGTTAACCCCTTCCTGTACAGTGTCATTAGTACAGTGTCAGTGCTTTTTATTAGCACTGATCACTGTATTAGTGTCACTGGGGATGTCAGTGACAGTCAGTTCCCCCCCCAGTGTCAGAATTCCCACTGATCGCCGCCATTACTAGTATAAGAAACAAAAAAAAAATCCAGTATATATACTGCCATTTGTAGACGCTATAACTTTCATGTAAACCAATTAATTTACATGTATTAGGATTTTTTTTAGCAAAGACATGTAGCAGAATAGATTTTGGCCTAAAGTTATAATGAAATTTGATTTTTTTACTGGACATGTTTAATAGTAAGAAGTCAAAATATAGTTTTTTTCTCAAAACTGTCAGTCTTTTTTTGTTTATAGCGCAACAAATAAAAAATGCACAGGTGATAAAATACCACCAAAAGAAAGCTCCATTTGTGGGGAAAAAAGGACATATATTTCATTTGGGTGCAGTGTTGCATGACCGCGCAATTGTCAGTTAAAGTAATGCAGTGCCGTATCATGATAAATGCCCTGGTTAGGAAGGGGGGGTAAATCCTCTAGAGGGCAAGTGGTTAACATCCAGGCTGCAGCCTTGGAGCTTCAATTCAGGCACACAGATTGCTTACAGTGAAATTGTTCCCATACAGAATCCCTCCTTAAAGTGGTTCTAAAGTCTGGAATTTTTGTTACCTAATGCATTCCCTGCAAAAATGTCCTTGTGTTTGTATTGCCTCCTCACCCCCTTTATACTTACCTGGGTCCTATCTTGATATAGCACTGTGCCCATCCACAACAGCTTTCTCTTCACTCTCTGCTTACAGAGGCAGCAGTGTTAGCCATTGGCTGCTGCTGCTGCAGTCAATCAAATCCAGGGAGCAGCGATAGGGGGGTGGGGCTAAGCTGCATTGTGTGTGCCTATAGACGCACTCAGCCCAGCTCAGGATTGAGCCCACATGTCTGCCCTCAAAGCAAGTGCTTTCTAGGAGGGCAGACACAGTAGAGGAGGAGCCAAGATCAATGCTGTGGGACCCCAGAAATGGAGGTTTGCGGCCACTCTGTGCAAAACCATGCTTTAAAGTCCTGCCTGCAACTGTGGTCATTGAGTCTACCATCAGCCTGTTCTACAAAGGTAACCAAAGTGTAGTGTGTATGTGTGTGTGTTTTTGAAGATGAGCAGAAGAGGCAGGAAGAGGTAAGGTGGGATAGGGGCAGTTGGAGAGGAGAGGAATAGGGAGACTTGGGGTGCAGAGCTTAGCAAGAAAATTTAAGATGCAAAGGTGTACTGACAGTGTGGATAAAGATGTATGTCACGTATAGGGCAGCCCATTCACTTCAGTGGGCTGCTCTACGCACTAGAAATGCTGAAATAAAGTCCCTGATCCTTTTTCAAAATCGCACCAAGCCACAGCAATTTTGGTTTTGGTGCATGTGGAAACGTGCACATCAGCAGATGCGTGAGGGTGTCATTAACAATTAATGGTACTGCTGTGTATCTGCTAAAGGGCAGCACATGTCTGTGGTATCAGGAAAGCAATTTTGCATGTGTTCCCAACATGCACAAATATGAACATAGGCTAAATGTATCAATTACATTGGTGCTCAGTGTATATCTTCTCATTACATTGGGGCATGGTGTAGAATCCTTTCATTCACACTAGTGGTCAGTGTGAATGTTCCCCTTACATTGGTGGTCAGTGTAAATCTCTCAATACATTGGTGGTCACTGTGAATGGTCATATTACATTAGTGGTAGGTGTAAATCCTGATTACATTGGTGTCCACTGTAGCAACTCCTCTTTATATTGCTAGTCGGTAAAAAAATCCTTACTTGCATTTGTGGTCACTGTTAAATCCACCTTTACATTAGTGGTCCATGCAGAAGCCCCCCTTAAATTAGTGGTCAGTGTAAATTCCCCAGTACATTGGTGGCCAGTTTAGAAATGTATTGATTGTTGGTGTAATATCCCCCATTACATTGGTTGTCAGTGTAAATTTTTCATTACATTGTTCGTCAGTGCAAATTCCTCATTACAGTAGTGGTCAGTGTAAATTTGGTGGTAAGTGCAGAATTGCTGTTACACTGGTGGTCAGTGTAAATCCCCTCTTACATTGGTGATCGATGTAGAAATGTCACCTCCCATTCCCATCCAGCACTTCCACTGATCCCATCCCCCCATTACTGCCATTGATCCTATCCCCAAACCACTACCACTGATCCCATCAACCTACCAGCACTGCCACTGATCACACCCACCCCCAGCACTGCCACTGATTCCAAGAGTCCTAGAATCCCAGGAGTCTATCACCTTCCCAGTCCATGATATGCAGGCAGTGAGGAGATGATGTGCTGTAACCTTCAGCAACCAAATAGTGAGCAGTAATAATGTGCAGTAACATCTACCAACCAATCAGTGAACAGTAGTGATCTGCTGTAATCTCTAGCAACCAATCAGTGAGTGGTAAGGCTGTGCAGTAACATGTAGCAACGAATGGGTGAGCAGTAATGATGTGCAGTAACCTTTATCAGCAAATCAGTGAGTGGGTAATAATGTGCAGTAACCTCTAGAAACCAATCAGTGACCAGTAATGATGTGCAGTAACCTCTAGCAACTAATCAGTGAGCAGTAATGATGTGCAGTAACCTCTAGCAACCCATCAGCAAGCAGAAATCTTGTGCTGTAACATCTAGCAACTAATCAGGGAGCCATAATGTGTGCTGTAACCTCTACCAACCATTCAGTGAGCTGTAATGATATACTGTAATATCTGGCAACCAATTGCAATTGCTGCCTGAATTGCTATAAAAAACAATTTTGAGTCTATATGCTATTTATTGTATGTCTCAGAGCAGGTGGTGAGCGAAATTGCATGGAGGGCCCAAGAAAATGTTTGCCCAGGGTCCAATCAATATTAAAGACAGCCCTGACCTTAATGTATTTTCTACATTAGGGTAAAAAAAACCTCCTGTGTGCAGCCCCCCCACCCCCCTTATATTTGCCTGAGCCCAAACTCAGTTCAGAGCTGTGCCAAAGAGCAACGGTTCTGTCAGGGAGGTACCAAAGGTGCACATCTACAGGTACTTGCCTTGCTGTGCATAGACATGCACATATCCGCATGTATGCATGTGTGGGTGCGCACACTCACAGCTAATGTTGGCACCAATGGGACTATTTAAACTGCAGAAGCTGTATTGGCCAGTGCTGTCTGATCTACAGCTATTACCCATGTTCCTGCATTTGTTCCTGTGTTTCACTCCTGTGATTGATCCTTTTCCTGACCACCCTTGAACGCTACCTGCTGTAACCCTGGCTTGTTTCTGGACTCTGCTCATTTGCCTGCCCCATGCGTTGCTGACCTCTGCCTCTCTGTTCTCTGGTTCCTGCTGGTCCTGCATCTGCTGTGTTCTACCAGACCTCCTGCACCTGCAACATGCCAGCTGTCTGCCAAGCAACTGCCACCTGCCGCCTGCCCAGTCCAGAGTCCACTGCTTCTGCTGCCATCAGCTCTATTTGCCATCTGATCCACTGCTGATGACACACCTGCTACCCATAAATACAGTCAGTGGGACATCTTACAGGCACTCATATCTCACCGTGCTCTTGCTGACACTGTTGCAACACCAGTACTCCTTGAGCCGAGGCTGTAAGAGAGGCCTCCATCTACTAGCCTTGCAATGCTACAAGGTACATGACAAGTTCTCCCTGCTCTTTCTCCCCTCATTGGACATAGAGTCAATGGCTCCTGCTGCTGACAATCAAAGCCAATAAGCAGAGAGTGGGGACGGGATCAAGATGAGCCATGTTTGTCAATGGACACAAAGAACATGGTTGGGATTGAGCTTTCATGAGTGGCTTGCTATGGGGTAACTCAACAGGAAGAAGAGCCAAGAGAACCAGTGAGGGACCCCTTAAGAGGAGGATCACATTGCTCTGTGCAAAACCATTTTTAACCGCTTGCCCTCCGCCCTATAGCAGAAATACTGCTACAGGGTGGCAGGGGTGCACAAAATCACGTATACAGTTAGGTCCATATATATTTGGACACAGGCACAATTTTCATATTTTTTGCTCTGTATGCAAACAGAATAAATTAAAAAAAAAACAATCCAAATGAATTTGAAGTGCAGACTTTCAGCTTTAATTCAAGGGGTTGAACATAAATATCAAGTACACATTTTAGGAACTGAAACCATTTTTATACACAGTCCCTCCATTTTCAGGGGCTCAAATGTAATTGGTCAAATGAATATAATCATAAATAAAATGTTCATTTTTAGTATTTTGTTGAGAATCCTTTACTGGCAATGACTGGCTGAAGTTTGGAACCCATGGACATTACCAAAGATTGGGTTTCCTCCTTTCTGATGCTTTGCCAGGCTCTAACTGCAGCTGTCTTCAGTTGTTCTTTGTTTGTGGGTCTTTCTGCTTTTAATTCTGCCTTCAGCAAGTGAAATGCATGCTCAATTGGGTTGGGATCAGGTGATTGACTCGGCCATTGCAAAATATTCCACTTCTTTTCCTTCAAAAGCTCCTGGGTTGCTTCTGCAGTGTGTTTTGGA